ACTGTTGCCTTCTGGCAGAAGATACAGAACAATTAAAACTCGGACCACACGTCTTCTGAATGGCTTTTATCCCAGAGCTATAATTGCACTCAACAGTGAACTAAAGGGCCACCATCAGTGACCTATTGGACAGCACTACTTGGTCTGTTGTGTGGATTTTTGGGTGGTTTAGAGGCAGGGAATTTTTTTGGTAGGTGAGGGTGTGTTTGGGGATTGTTATGTGTGTTGGGCCCAGAGGGGTGTTATGTGAATTTTGTTGTATGTGTAAACTGTGTATATATGTACAATGACAATAAAGTAAAGTAGAAGTATACATATATATATTAATCACTGTCCATTTTGAATATGTAGCAGAAAAAGGAAACTTGAGAGTTCACAAGGTTGATGCTATATGGAACAAAACTGTGACTGAATCTAGATATTCTGCTTTGGATACCACGAAGCTTCCTCCCAGAAGCTAACAAGGAAAACTGGTTGTCAAGAGGATGTATAGACAATCAGACAATCCCGTGGACTCTGTTCAAGCATTGCTTATGTGCTATCTTCGGGATAGAACAAAGTGAACTACCAATGAATTTTTCTGTCATCCTCACCACTCTCTGCACCACCTTCCTGTCTGAAGCAGTAATACTTTCAAACCAGAAAGTAATGCAATATGACAGGATGTTCTTGATCATCCCTCTATAGAAAGTGGAAAGGACAGAGGAAGGAAAATAAACTTTTCTCATGCAATGTAGAAAATGCTTTGCTGTTCCCTCTTCACCAGTGTCTCACTGTTGAGCGACCAAGCTAGCCTACTCAGTAACTGCACACCCAGAAACTTGATGCTGCTAACCACCTCCACAAGTGAATCATTAATATGTAGAGGTGTGTGGCTGTGCCTGTCTTTTCTAAAATCGATAATGATCTCTCTAGTTTCTTTTATGTTTAAAATGAGGCTGTTTTTGTTATACCAGTTCACTAAACCTTCTACCTCCTTGCAGTAAGCAACCTTGTTGTCATCTTGAATAAGGCCCACTACTGTTCTATCGTCCGCATACTTCACAATATGGTTGGTGGTAAACCAAGCACAATAGTCATGGGTCAAACAGGATGAACAACTGCAGACTTGGGACACAGCCCAGAGGAAAACTTGTGCTCAAGAAAATGTTAGAAATATTAGTCCCAACTCGCACATATTTATCAGTAAGAATATCAAGAATCCAATTGTACGAAGGAGTATTAAAGCCTAAAATTCCCAGTTTGTCTACTAGATGCTGAGGGATGATTACATTAAATGCCAAACTGAAATCAACAAACAGGATTTGCACATGAGTGCTTTCTGTTTAATAATTTATTTTTTATTTTTTATTTATTGAATAAATTGAATAAATTTCTGTTTAATAATTAAAAACTGTCTGGAAAAAATAATTAGATTTGTGGCCTTGGTAGAAATAAGTGAAACCTCTTTTTGCTGATGGAATAGCTTCTGTATTAGAATTCCACCTCCACTCCAGAAGGGAGTTCAGGGATTCTGTGGAAGATTTGGTGGTAGTTCAAGGTGGAAAAGAAGATAAGAAAGGAAGCATGTTCACATAGCATGGACACAAGTGGTGATTACATTATACCTACATGATGTAGCTGGATATACCTCACTATTGATTACTTTTTTGTGTGTGACTTTCTAGGATCCAGCAGAAGTGGTGCCTCTTGGTCAAAGAAGAGCTTGGTGCTGGTGTATGTGTTTTGGATTAGCTTTTATGCTTGCTGTTGTAATCCTTGGCGGTGCCTATCTGTACAAGTATTTTCAAATTCAGGTAAGATGAAAATACATATAGGATTGAGCTTTGAATGTTTTTGTTGTTAACTTACTAGGAATTGTTCAACTTGGCTTATCAGCTTAAGTATTAATATAAAATTCATTTTTAATATTTTTAAACTTGAGAAAATTAACTCCAATACAACATAAACTCTATAAATACATTTGGATATAAGCTTAATATTGGGAAATATTTGCCAGTGTTCCTATTGTGAAAATAAAGTTTTTTGGGATACCTCTAGATCAGTGAGAGCTAACATTTTTCTCCTCACGTGCCGAAATTGTGCATGTGTGTGCTATTGCACACATGGCCACTCACAATGCTATGCATCTGTGCCCCTGTGCATGCATGCGCAACACCCCCAACCGCATGCGTGTGTGACCCCCAGCACGGCCTACTCGGCCTTCTGCACCATGGCGGGGTGGTGGTGTCGCCTTTCCCACGCACTGGAGGCTTTTCTCAAGGCTCTGAGAAAATGAATTCCTGGAGGAATTCCAGAATTTGTGGAATCGAGGGTCCCATGGATTCTACGTTTGCTGTCTGGCACCACTTACTGAATGTGTTCCACGTGGCGTTGTATATTTTTGTACTGGACGGGCTCCTAGATGGCTCAATAGTCCCTATCACTATGGAGGAGAAATTAGCTTTCCTCAGGAGGTCCCTCTCAAGCATCAGCCTGTCAACTGGAGCCATTGTGGCTCCGGATGGACCAGAACCCCCTGGTGCAGAGAGATCCTCTCCTGGGGAATTCTTCAGGGTTGGTTATAGACAGAATCACTAAATCTGTGAACCAAGGCCTTCGAGGCCAGTGTTGAGCTACCAGAATGACCTTTGCCCCCTCCAACACTATCTTCTTCAACACCCCTGGGATTAGAGGAAGGCAAGGAAACGCATAGAGCAATACCTGTGGCTGCTGGTTGCGTATGGCTGTCTTTTCACGAGGTTTGCCCTACCAGCTGAAAATGGCCACTGCGTCACTTTATGGCCATCTGAAGTGAATGGCCAATGGTGCAGTTGCCGTTGCTCCTCAAGCCTCAGCCTCACAGCAGAACAGTTGTTGCGCCGTTGCTAGTCACACTGGCCACATGCACCCCAGCTCCGTGAAGGGGGAAAATGTCACGGTATGTCTCATGACCACGATGTGGTGAATTTGACACTCGTCTTGAGTATTCAGTCCAAACAGCCTGGTGGCATCATCTAATATCCTTATGGAATTAATCTAATTTTCTAGGTACACAGCATATAGTCAAACTAATACTGTGGGCTTGTTTGTATAACACATTGGGCTAATATAGTGTTTGTTTCTTCGTGTTTTTATACACAGTCTAGACTAAAGCTAAAATAAGTTGTGATTCATTTTGCTCATAATTTGCTTGTGCATTAGTAATAGAAAGGCAATATGCATACTGTATGTATGACTTGAGAATGTTGGTTGGTTAAATTAAGCTATCCATGCTATCTTAATCTCATTCTATTGGCCATGAATCATTGCTAGTGGTTGACCTGAACTTCAGAATATAATTTCTATGTCTACCAAGGCAACCAGAATTTCCAGCTGCTGCTATCTAGAATTTCAAATAACAACTGGTCATTCTCTGGTCAATTTTAGATTGTCAGATACAAAATAGTCTGACTCAGAGACCTGGGTGATTTCTGAAGGGGCTTGGTAGTTTTTACCTTGTTTACCAGCAGATGTTCTGGATAGTTGATATTATCATTCCTAACTACCTTTTTCCTTTAAAAATCCCACAAATGGCAAAAATGGGCAAGAACTGAACTGAAAACAGCAATTTTGGCTGTTTGAAGATGGCTTAATGGTAGGAAATAACTTGTCTTTCAATGGACGTCCTTTCTCATTCTTAAAAGTTGAAAAAATATAGCGAACGTTAGGCCTTTTTTGTTGGCAAATTTTGCTGATGCAATTTTAAAATCCTAGTTAACTTTTGTGGGCTACAGAATGCTCACATTTATGCTAAGCCACAATATGAATTCTCATTTTTAATTTTTATTCTTTATGTTGTCTGAACCAAAACCAAAATGGTTATGCTTATCTGAATAACACCAATGTAATCAACTGTGGTTCATTTAATAATTAAACAAATATGTATGAAATTTCTATGAACCTAACCTGAGGTTTTGTAGTAGTTATTGCTTAATGGTTAGCTAGTACAAAAAGTTGTAAGTTGAAACTACAACATCTCTTTTCAGATGATAGATAGTAATCTTCCTCTGATAATAAATTCTGCTCTGAATAAACTATAATATTATCTAATAAGCTTAAAAAGAGAGTGGCTAGTATTCTGGATTTGAAATTTAGCAGTGATGAGGTGGGGGTGGATATATGTTGCAACAAGATTCATGAACTGTACTTTGTTTTGCATTATGTGTATTACCTTTGTTTTGTAGGAAAATGTTTACTTCTGTGGAATTAAGTATCTTGAGGATGGCTTAACCCTAACTGACTCCGATACAATTGCTTCAGCTCCTCGTTATCAAATAATTGAAGAGAGCATCCAGATCCTTCAGGAGGAGGATGTTGAGTTCATTAGTGTGCCAGTTCCAGAATTTGCTGACAATGATCCAGCTGATATTGTCCATGATTTTCAGAGGGTAAGGAATAATGCTCTGAATAACATTGTAATTGGAGGGAAAGGAATTTGAAGTTATGGATTGAAGTTACTGATCATTTCTGGTGTCTTGGTTATATTTGTATATATACTGGTAAGTGGACAAAGAAAGCCAAGGTAGGCCCCAGAGTGGAGAAGGTAAAAGGGCTGCATAGATTGGTTAAAAGGTTGTGGTGGTGCAGTGGTTAGAATGCAGTATTGCAGACTAATTCTGCTGACTGCTGATTGCCAGCAGTTTGATAGTTTGAGTCTCACTGGCTCAAGGTTGACTCATCTTTCCATCCTTCTGAGGCTGGTAAAATGAGGACCCAGATTGTTTGGGGCAATATGCTGACTCTTTAAATGGCTTAGAGAGGGCTGTAAAGCACTATGAAGCAGTATATAAGTCCAAGTGCTATTGCTATTAAAGCCTGCAAAGTTCTGAATTCTCTGTTGTTACAAGTGAGGAAATAATTTAATGGTGCAAGAACAAGCAAAAGACTGCTTGTATCCAAGCTTCTAAAAACAATGTTCCGTTTCTGGGTTAGTGTTAGGTTGAAACATTTAATACTACTTAGAGTTTACAAAGGACACACTTTTCCACCTTTTACTTGAGATATATTACACTAAAATTTTAATATAATATTAAAAAATTAAAAATAGCCCAATCTACTAAAAACAAAACTGTAAAGACAGACTAGGAATACAAATTAAAATAGGCAAGAAAATGATCAGAGAACACCTGTCCACTCTAGATGAGTTCAAATTCAAATGGATTAAATCCCAGAGTTCAGAAGGAGCTGGCAGATGTGATCTCAGAACCACTGAACCATATCTTTCAAAGATCCTGGAGCACTGGGAAAATACCAGAAGACTGAAAAAGAGCTGACATGGTTCTCATCTTCAAAAAAAGAGAAAAAATTGATCCAGGAAACTACAGACGAATCAGCCTGACATCAATACCTGGGAAGAACCTGGAAAAGACAATCAAGCAAAAGATCTGACAACACCTAGAAGCAAGCAAAGTTATAGCCAAAAATCAACATGGGTTTGTAATAAACCTATCGTGCCGAACAAATCTTATTTCATTATTTGACAAAGTGACTAAATTAGTGGACCAGCAGAATGCTGTGGACACAGTATTTTTGAATTTCATTAAGATATTTGACAGAATAGACTACAATCTACTTTTTAGTAAGTTTGAAAAATGTAGGATAGACAGAATCACCACAAGATGGATTTGTAACTGGCTGACAAACCACACTCTGTGCAATCCTTAATGGAACTACAGTACTGGGCCTAAGTTGTAGGCAGGTGTGAAAAAATGCTGTAAACGAATGCTTTCAGAAATATAAATGATGATTGTTTATTTTTGTCAATTTCCAAAATGCAAAGTGAGCGAACAAAAGAAAAATTTAAATCAAATCAATATTTGGTGTGACCACCCTTTGCCTTCAAAACAGCAGCAATTCTT